GTATGGTATGGTATGGTATGGTATGGTATGGTATGGTATGGTATGGTATGGTATGGCATGGTATGGTAAGGTAATATCCTTATTACACACATTAAATTATGACTTAAACATGTTTAGATATGTTTTAAAGGAAACTTAATATATAAACATCTTCCTCCTGTTCAGAGTTCGACTCTGATGAAGCAGCCAGTGGGGCACACTTTTTCTTTGGTGGCTCTGAAGTTGCTTCCACTAGTTTCTCCGCAACATTCTGGCTTTATTTAAGCAAACTAATGACCGAGTCCCACACCTCACCCCAGTAGCATCTTCAGATATGCAATGTTTAAATTTTACTTGCGTGGTGTCTGCAGGTCTGCTTTAAACTTATACCAAATAGTCAGGATCATCATCTGAGCTTTACATCACTGGAGAGAGCAGGCTAAATGCAGGCAGAATATGAGAGCAAGAAACATACTTTTGTCCTCCCAGAATTTTAGTCCCTTGAATGTTTCCCAGATGTCCTCAGTAAAAACGAATGGATCATTTTGGGAACTTTTTTTGTTTCCCACATGTCCAATTGAGTCGGACAGGAAGAAAACAGTAAATGTCCCAAATGAAGTTAGGGTTAAAACGTTTCAGGTGATTAGTGGATTGGATATTTGAGAAACGTTTTAGACACAAAGAAAAATCATCGCCACCTGGTGGTTAGTTCTGGTATTTGGGACATTTGAGGAACATCCCATTATAAATTCTCAATTTCAATATATATTTTTAAAAGGGTGAAGACAAGGTTTTAAAAATGGGGGAGAATGGTCCTCCATCTCCAGAGCTGGGCTGGGCTTAAGTTTCTAACGTTTTTTGATTTTCCACAATAAAATGCATTGGTGTGTATGTGTTGGGGGCTGGCAAGGGCCGGCTTCCGCTGAAAGTAATTCAAGAGGTGGATCCACGCTGAAACAGAACATACCTAATGCTCCAATGTATTTATGACCTTGTGGAACCTATAGGAGCAGCTTTGGCAGGCCAACACGCAGATATTAGTACTCTATCCTCAGAACATAATGAAATTATCTCACAAAGCCTAAAAATGCTCTCCCCATTTCATGATGCCACAATGAGTATAATGTCACTGGAAACACTGCTTGATCTCAGGTTTAAGACGTTAGGCTTGTTTAGCCCCAGTGAAGCAACAGATGCCGAGAACAGGCTCATTTCTGAATGTGCTGCTGTTATATGACACTCCCTATCAGCAGCTTCATCTGTAGAAGCTTCTCAGTCTGTCACTCTACTGTAGATACATGGATATATTATGATTATAAAATTGCATTAGTCTTTACAGTTTAAATTTTTTAAGTTAGCAAATTGTGGTAATATTTGGACACTACGGTCCTACAGACAAAGACCCAAAATGTCAATGCGAATAGGTCCAAAAATACCTTAATGAACCAAATATTGAACGAATGGATAATCCCATGGAGTATTGGTGAGCACAGAAAAATCTGTATCCCAACATGTACACACTTGCTGTAATTTTTCTGGCTACCCTGTGAAAGAGTATTTTCTAAAGCAAGAAAACTCGTCTCAAAAAAGAGAAACCAAGTACAGTGGAAAGTTGTTTTTGAATTCAAACAAATAAAAATGTGTCCCCAGTATCAAAGTCCTACAAGCACATTCACACCAAAACTCTTTCCGTATTCTTCCATGCACTTTCCCTTTCGAGCCATTCCATCATAGACAGATTAGGATCATATTCAGATCAAATTTAGAAATAATAGTCATCACAAACCTAATTCTTTTTCTTTTGTTTTAAAGTGCCTGTGACATGAAATTTTTGTAATAAATATGAACGCATTTTTTTGAAAGATGACATTAATTAATGTGTTGCAAAACAAATTTCATGCCACTGAGATGAACCGTTCTTGAGATATTCCCATGTGAAGTAACAGGAAGTGATGTCAAAGGGGGATTGTCTGCATGTGAGCAGAACATTGCTACAATAACTAATAACAGACTCTAGAGAAGAATCTGGTGTTTCTTTAGATAATTTCAAGTCACTATCAGAGAGATGAAAAAGAGTCAGAGTTCAAATAATATTGTTTCAATAAACAAAGACCAGAGAGTTCCTTTTCTTAATGAGCTCCCCTTTGATGTCACTTCCTGTTTCACTTTGGCTGAGCCAAGTTCAAAGCAAAATCTGTGAGTTATGTGACAAAATGTGTAAAATCGTATGTATTAAGTCGAGTTTCTTAAATATAAATATGTTTTTTGACTTTTTGTATTTGAAGGATATGCATGTCACAGGCACTTTAAAGCTTCACAAACCAGTCATATCATTATAAACCTGTTTTACATTTATTTTCCACTTGATAGTGCAGTGGAGCAAATGAAGCATGATGACGTCTCGGCTCATATACGGACTAGTTGGATGGAAAGCTTCAGTGCATCACGCTTCATCTCACCATCACTACAGGATGTAGGCAGCAATGTTACGCTCGACACCTCCTGCTCAACACTGTTGAGCAAATGAAGCAGAAATGGTTGCAAGACGGTGTTTCAAGCTCTGTTTCAGTGCACCCAAAATCATATGACTAATGAGGTCTCATTACGTCACATCTGTGTTGATCTGTTTCAACTGAAGACTTTGAAAAGCACCTGATTAAGGTGAAAGCTGTGGGTATTTTGAGAGAAAGTGATACATGAAAGAGTCTTCACACCTGTAGGTAGCAGCTGTAGGATTTACACCCTACACTTCAAGTTGTAAGGCTATTGTTTTAGCACGGGATCTTTTTATTTTCTGCAAATACTTCTTTCAAGAAAAAATGAATGGACAACACAATGAGTGACTTTAGTCAGTGAATTTCGATTTGATCCATCAATAAATGCGACCATTTATTTACATAATCAAAGAGAGGAATAGGCTGAAGCCCAGCTTGGCTGAAACGATTTTAAAACTATCTTTGAACCCTCCTTATCATCTTTCTATCTTCACTTCCTACAGTTGCTTGAGCATTTCCATTTTACTCATTCTTTCAAAATATGTTTTAGGTTTTCTATTAATCTTATAAAATCACATTTCGATTTAATAGTGTAGCTTTCTGTCAAAATGTAAAAGCAAACTCAGTGAAGTAGTTTTTTTATACATAAGAGAGGCACTATCAACATGTTCAAGTCAATCTGATGAATGTGGAACACTGGTCACATGGGAAAACGGAGTTTGAATCCTGAGTGCACTTTTTATACACAAACTGTAGCAAAATTATGCAACAGTTACATCTATGATTTCCATAAATACACGTAAATAATAATATATAATAAACAAGGCACAGTCACGTTGTACTGTAATATTTTATTATTGTTTTTAAAAGAAAACAGTCAAGATACATGTAGAACCTTTATGATACAGAACTGGGCTTCACTGGTCCTGACATGCTTGTTCAAAAAAAAAAAAAAAAAAAATCATGGGACAAAACAGAGACACTGTGGGCGTCTCTAACCCCGTCTCTGGGGGATCAGAGCTGTATTTCAACACCTGTACATGTACATTTTACTCCAACAGGTAACATGTGTTGGTCTAAAAACCACACTGTTGATAAATGATGATGAATAATAGGCATGCAAACAAAAACGATGGAGTTTTAAAAAGTTGGTTGAGCAAATCCTAGCTCGCTGGTCAGTTGATCACAACACTCATTATTTAGTAAGACAGCAACATAAACCCTGCAAATTTTCTTGCAAATTTGAGTCACTAACGAGTCTCCAGGATTCGCAGCTCAGGAAGATTCTACCTCAACCTACCTCAACTCACACAGAAGCCTTAAAAAAAGGACATTCCACCATATTACTGGGATATGGTCCCTTTAAAACCTATTGGTACTGACAAGGAAGGTGATTATATCCTATTCCTAAAAAAGTTAACAAAACACAAGTACAACAAACAAACTCATAAATGACCAACCTGAATAGCATTTTACATTTTGTTTTTAATTATAGTTGTCTATACGTCACTGGATGTGTTGTACAAGCAGAAAGGCCTCACATGTTACCAACTGCAGACCATTGAGTTTTTTTAAAGCACAGAATCACAAAGCTTTTTAAAACAGTCAGGCAGACACAATTCACATTTCTATGCAAATAAGATTTGATCTCTGTCTTAGAGCATACAGGAGATTAGGGCCAATTTCGTACGTCTCTCTTGCGTTGTAATGCGCAGATACATATATCTCATCTATGCGTTTATTGTTGTTGTTATATCTCACTAAAACCCTGTCCATGTTACTTTTAGGATCGTGGCGGTTGTAGTACTTCCTGACTTCAAAAGGCAAGTCTTCCGCATGAGGAGCGTGGAGGTTCCCAATGGTGAAGTATCTGTACTGCCTTTTGTCCTCAATCACAGGAAGCAGTTTGGGTCCTCGGTTCTGAAACCAGTGGAACCCATATTCTCCTTTGGTGGGATCACACAGAGCTCTCATGTTGTTGTCCAGGCAGTTCCGAACATACCACACCAGTAGCCTGAGGCCGTGGCGAGGTGGGGGTTGACCAAAGCCACTGTCCTGCAGCTCCTCTTCTGAGTTCAAAGTCGTCAGAGCTGATGTCAGGATCAGTGACAAAATCAGAGTAACATGAAACAAGAAGAGCCTCTCGCTGCCTTGCGCCATCTGCAAAAACATGTCAAAGTGTGAAATTAAAGACCTGCATTTCTTGAAGGACTGCACATCAACAGTTGTCTCGGATGCAAGAGTTTTAAGCGAATTGAAGTTTCCACTGTGCAACTGAATTGAGGATTCATTGATAGAGAAAATGATTTCACGTAATTTCATTTAAATTCAAGCAAATATTTAAAAACATGAACAAACAAAACAAAGTGGGTTGACTTCAAATGTTAATGAGTTGTAGATGTACTTTCAACGAATACTTCAAGAGTTTCACTACAATCTGCCCAACAGACACAGAGTTAGTTGACTAAAAGTTTTGGCCAAAATCAGAAGCAGAAATATTATGAAACGTGTGCAGCCCTTGAACTATGTGTTGGCAATGATTTTCAGCTACAATCACATAAAGTTTTACGTCAGTTTTCATGAAATTGACAGAACTGTTTCTCTGTTTTCTAAGATCAGTTAGTTGTGGTGACCATCTTGATTTGGGTTGATTCCAAAATTAATGAGTAAATAATCTCTTTTGCTAAAACCGTGTTCAAACAGAGCTGTCAGGAAATGAAGTTAAGACATTAACTTAGGTTTGGGAGCAGGACCACGCCTCTCACCTGCAGCAATCAGTCGTCGTCTATTTAAACTCGCCTCACCTGGCGTCTGCCCTTAGCTCGCTGTCTCGACACCCACCCTCCCCTTTCACCCCACTTAAGCCCCTCTGTAAGGCCTCATTGCATCACCTTCTTCGCTCCCTTCATCCCTTCCTCATCCCTTCATCCCTTCCTCATCTCTTTATCCCTTCTTCCCCTCCCCACACCCCTTCATCCCTCCATCTCTGCTTCTTTCTTTCTCCTCCATCCCTACCTCAAACTACCTCCTAATCCATTTTTCCTTTTCAGGTTCCAGCTGGGGGGTCCAAAGCAGGCTCAGGAAAGCATCCTTCCTGGAGACCATGCCCCAATCTGAGTCTTCTCCTCAAGCCTCCTTCGATGTACCTCCCCAGACGCCTCATCATTCATCCCCACTACCCTTCGACCCCTTTCCTTCAATAAAATTTTTAAACCCATACCATGGTGTGGTCCTTGCTAGTGAAACAGCCGTTAAATGACTCACCTCCTTTTTGATCAAACAGGAATAGATGTGGATCAGTTGTGTTGAGCTTTCTGTTGCAAAGGACCCACTGGCTTCTGTTTTCCACTTTTTCTTGTCTGCATGGTGGGCATGTGCACGTTTTTAGAAAGGTTGGTTTCACGTTCCTCTTTATGAAGAAAACCATTGTTCCTGTTTAATTTCAACAGTTTCAGCTTCAGGTTGCAGGTGTTTCCTGTAGGGTTTAGAGATTACCTAAACACTTTGTTACTGACACAACAGTCTAATTTGGATTCATTTGGAAAAAAAAGTCTGCTACACGAAACTCAATAAAGGGGAAAAACAGAATCGAAATTTGATGGTTTTTCATTTGAAAGTTTTTAGCTTACTTGATTTGCTGTATTTATAAAAACATGAAGATTTTAATGTCTTAATGTATAAAAATAAACTGTGGTTATAAACCACAGTGTGCTCACAGTAAAGTTTCACTCTTCTCTCAGCAGTCAGTTTCTCCTCGCTTCACTTATTTTTGTACTCATTAAAATTGTGGCATCTAGTCAGTATTTTGACCAGTAACAACTGAATTTATTCGCTCTTTAATAATATGAATCAATACTGAAATAGAAGTTTGTACAATTACAGGAAAACTTTACTTTATAAAACAAGAAGGAACCAAACTGATCTTTAGAAATTTTATTACAAAAATAATAAAACACAAAATGAATACAATTATGAACACGAATGGTTATAAACAACACAAATCCAACGAAAATAGTTTGAGGAATAATTAGTTTAAAAGGCATAGTTGGTAAATTATTTAAATTTATTCGTGTAATAATTCAAGATAAGAAAAAAAGATTAAACCTCATTCATCTACAACAAAAAGGATTCTTTAGACAATTATACACTCTTTTATGCTTGCAGGAATGTAAACAAAATTTACTATTTAATGAAAAGTTTATTTTGGATTTTAGATTATTAGATTTCTGATGGGTGGAGACAGAGAACTGACTCTGGTGATTTGTGCTTTGGTGGACAACAGCTTGTTTTGGACTCTGGAGGTCTTTGATTGGTTCCAACACGGAGTACTAACCTGAAACGTCACCAATTCTGCTGAACCCCACCCTACACCATGTGTTTCACCCCCACTCCCCTCCCTTCCTTAGCTGCCTTGCACTGAAAGAGTGGTTTTTTTTGAGCATATGTTTCTGGGATCATAGCATCTTTTTAAACTCAACTTTCCTATTGTGTGTATTCAAGCTGCAAAAAGGTAGCGCACCTTAGTGCGAAAGACCTTGGACATTCGTTCCCCCATGTTTGTTATGTGTGTCTTTCTCCGAACGGATGTTCTAAACTGCAGTTTAGTTCTGCATTGCATCTTTGATGTTGGGTGTGAATGACAATAAATGCCTCTGATTCTGAGATGAGAGTTTATTGACCACACCAAGGTGCAGGTGTGCCTTGGGGCCTCAACATACTGCCTCCAAACTGCCAAAATCAGTTCTCGTTGTCGCAGTTTCATGACGAAAATTACATCACCGCGCTTTCAGCGTCCACTCTACCGCCCCTTCTTGTCACACCCTGCCGGCAGAACTTTTTAGCCCCCTGCGGCTAAGAAGTTTACGTGTGATTGGTCAGAAGTTTGTGAACGTGTTTGTTTATGCTGAAATCGCTCGGATGCTGCATTTCGCTTCAGCCACTCCCTTCCTGAATGCAACTGTTGTAACCAGAAGCAGACGTTTATAAAGATCGTTGAACGGCCAAAAACTCATGAGTGGAGATAAAAAAAAGACATTTTGTATGAAGGAGTTCATTTGCAGATACAGCGGGTAAAATAAGTATTGAACACGTCACCATTTTTCTCAGTAAATATATTACTAGAGGTGCTAATGACATGAAATTTTCACCAGATGTCGGTAACAACCCAAGTGATCCATACATACAAAGAAATCAAACCATAAATATTCAGAAATTAAGTAATTTGTAATAATGTGGAATGGCACGGGAAAAAAGTATTGAAC